GTAGTTCAAAAATAACATCCACGTCTCTTGGCTTTCATTGGAACAGATGGCAAAATCTAAGGGAAATATTTGTCCATTGGCATCTACTGCAATGGCGACCAACAATTTAATATCATACTTTCCATAGACATGAGTACCGTTTATGGATATTACCCGCCGGCAATGCACAAAACCATCAATTGCTGGTTTAAATGCCCAGAACACGTATCTGAATATATATTCTGGTATTCCCGCACTCCGCTCAAGCTTCCATTCAACAACAGTCCCAGGGTTAAAGTGTTGCAATGCGGCCATGTACATGGGTAGAGAAGCAAATAACTTATCCCAGTCACCATAAATAATTTCAAACGCACGTTTGCGCCCGAGATATGCCTTTCTCTTGGTAATGGTACACCCATATTCCTGGTGGACGGATGTAATACACACTTTGATCTTGTACCTTATGGACGCTTCAATGTGTGGAATCAAGAGAAGAGAAATCAAGTCAACATCCAAGTTGAAGTGATTCCCACTGAATGTGTCCATTTCACAATTGTGGGTGCTAATACATTTACCCACTTTTCACATATTTGTTTTTTTCTTTATCGCACGCAACATCCAATTACAACCCGTAAACCATCTACGGCAAACAACCTTGTATACATCTGGAGATGACTCCCATACCGTCATCTCATGGCACTTTTTACGCTGTACATTTTCACAGCCCTGCTTAGGCGTGCCTTATCAGAAAAAATCATGCCCTTTGACAACACCGTTGGTCTAGATTCATCCCACATTAATGTCCGAAGTTCGTCAATATCCCTTGTAAGGGCATCCACATCCGGCTTACTTGGCAAATTATCAAGGTAGGAAATATGCCTTGAATGAAACAGCACGTGGGACTCGTACACTCTTGGTCTAACGGGAGGTGGAGCATGCTCCCTCATCAAATCAGGTTCGGAATTCTCTTCCTCCTCCTCATCACCCTCGTCAGGGAAAGGTGTGTCATCTCAAGTCTCATCGGCATTGTTGTCATAATCACTATTCTTTTACTGGCTCTGTGCATCTGCCAAATCCCGAGTAAATATGTCGTCTTCGGGCAATTGAGTGAGGACAGGACCATCAAGTTGCTCGTTTTCACTGCACAACCAAAGAAATAATGAGTTACTGAAATTGGTCCAAACAATACATATAACTTTATATATTCACTTACAAATCATAATGAGTTGATATCTCATGATGCACATTATCTTGTTGATGCTGACTCCCGGATGGACCACCATGATCCAACACACCAAAACTAGGTATATTCCAACTGGCCGTCAGTTCATAACTTGTAAAATTCATATCTGGTCGGTACCCCCTGTGGAATATATGAGTGTTAATACAAATACAATATAAAAAAAAAATACATCGTAACACAAAGAAAAATTGAAGTTTACCACTCGGCTTGCGGATTATGTATACTAGGGGAGAAATTATTTCCTCGCTCCTCATTTGCCCGTGGAGATAAGTTTAGATCCGGCCAAACTCTTTCAGCCGGAACCTGTTCGGCTAAAACTGCTCCAAAATAACCACCCGATGATTGAGGGATTTCCTTACTTTGCGCAATCTCATTATTGCGAACGTCTTCAACCTTGACGTACATTTCAACAGTTTTATCACAATAAATTCCCTGTATTCATCTAGAGTCCCCAAAAAATCTCTCAGAGTTTCATCGTCTTCGATGTTAAACTCAGCATAACAAGCAACCCCTTGCGGAGTCACAAAATACGGATATCTTCCAGTTATTTTAAGATTCACCGAACGTTTGCTCACACTCATTTTTTTACATATCAACGGTACTAATTTATCGTACTCCATTGTAAGTGGCAACTTAACATGAGACTGTGGAGATAAACTATAGCTTATTGAGTTATTCGCCACCACAACCTCACCCCCCCAATATAATGAAACCCTAATTTTTCGCTTTTCAGACATTATGACAAAATGCAAAACAACTTAACAAAGAAAAATTTCAGAACACTTGAAAAATTTCAGAACACTTGAAGATGTTCATGAATGAATTTTTACAAAATCCTTCACCTCTTTAAATAAGGCAAAAACCAGCCTGGGGGTTCAATTATTAGAGGTGTAGTGTTTAAAAAAAAAACGAAAAAGGGCCAAAACTACCCCTATCGTTTGCTAAATGGTTTATAAATACCCTCCGTCCATCTATCCGTCCAAAAAAATACACGACGTTATTTCTATTAATAAAATTACCCCTCGATTTAACGGCAACAGATGTGAGCCCCACTTTTAATGACGTGTCAACGTATTACTAGGCCACGTGGCAATCACTGACTGAAACAACAATGGATATTATTTCGACCCACTTAGCTGACCCGACCCAATAGCTTCCCCATTTTTGGAATCTTCTTCTTCTTCATTATACCCAAACTCTCTCTCCCCCATTCATCTTCTCTCTTAAACCAAAAAATTCCCCTAAATTCCAAAACTTACCGAATTCCAGAACTTTTCACTCATTTCCGGTTTGCAGTCTCCCTCCCACTCCCAAAACCCCAAGAAGCAAAACTTAACAGAGAAATAAACTAATTTTTGACAAAATTCTACTTATTTGAATAGGAAAAACTGCAGATTTGATAGAATGGGGAAGCCAGAAGCTTTGGTTGGGGAATTCTTCTATGACCGTCAAATCCAGCCTATTTTTTTTTTTGTTTTCACCGCAACCTGTTATGCCTTTTTAATGCCAGAAAAAGAAACAAAAAAGAAAACTTCCAAGGCAAACGATTTGGCTGAGGCTTCGAAAGTCGCCGAAAATTTAAAGGCAAATGGAAGTCATATTTCAACGAGAAAACATTTTTTTTCAAACTTGTCCATGTAAATGAATACATTGGGGTGGTCCAGATTTGTGGTGGTTATGGAGGAAAATAGGAGTGGTGACAATGGTGAAGGAAGAAGATGCTAACTATTTTTCTTTTTCTTTTTTAAGTTAAAAAATAATTTGAGCAGGTCAAATAATTGGGGCGGATATATTCTGCCCATAATTTTTGTTTGACCCAATAAGCCACATGGCCCAGTAATACGTTGACACGTCATTAAAAGTGGGGCTCACATCTGTTGCCGTTAAATCGAGGGATAATTTGTTAATAGAAATAACGTCGTGTATTTTTTTGGACGGATAGATGGACGGAAGGTATTTATAAACCATTTATCAAACGATAGGGGCAGTTTTGGCCCTTTTCTGAAAAAAAAAAACGATATATCCAATTGAATTATTATTATGTCAGTTAAGCACAGAAGAATTATTTGTGGGTCCACTTAATATGTATAGCGTTTTAGTAAATAACGCTATATATATGTATAGCGTCTTAGTAAAAAACACTATATATATAGCATTTTTTGAAAAAATACTATATTTAACTGGCCAAACGGCCGTTAAAGTATAGCGTCTTTCAAAAAAAAGCTACACATATTTTGGTCACTAAGTTTTTTTCTCACATATTTTCGTCCTTTAAGTTCAAAAGAACCACATTTGGTTCCGGACGCTATTATATACGTAGTTATTTTGGAAATAGGAGAAATTGCACCTCATAGATTTTTCCAATAGTTCGTACTATCTAAAATTTATTTACAAGAAGCAAAATAATCCCAATTCAAGTCCAAAAATTGGTATTATAAGTTAACTCTCCAAAAGAAAAAGGGACAAAATTGATTCTTTTGGAAAGTAGGTTATTTTAAAAAGAAGATTCTTCTGGAAAGTAAAAAAGGGGCAAAAATTGTTACAAGGTGAATGTACAAATGTTCCTATGCTTCTCTAATCTCTTCCTAAGTTCAATTTCACAAACCAAAATGGTGTCATTTTGAAATCAAAGCCAAACTAGAATACTCAAAAGTATTTTTTGATAAGACCATATCAAACTATTTTTTGTTAAGTAAATACTCAAACTAATTTTTGTTAACAGAGTACACATGCTATTATTTTGATAAGAGCATACTCAAATTATTTTTTAATAAGAGAATACTCAAAAGACAACGTATAAAAATCAAAGCCCATAGAAAATGACTAAGTTGATCTAATTTTGTTCATAAATTAGCCATTAACATCTCATTAAAATAATTTGAAGTTGGCTGCATGGATTTTTAGCAATCATGTAGTTCCAAATATCAATTAAATCCATCTTAAACCCATATAAGCCGATATAAATTTATATTTATATTTATTAATATCGACCGAACAACGTAACACTACTATTTTACAATTGACAAAATCCAAATTGCTACTATTTCACGCACATACACAATGGGTTTGACACGGGTGAGTTGTACTTGTACCCGTGACTGGCCAGACTGGCAAGTGTAAGAATCCAGGCCAGAGAGACACTGCTTAGATTGCCGTCTTTTTCCCCCCAAATCAACTGTTACCTATTCTTACGGCCAAGATCTTCCACTAACCAAATACTACCTCCGTTCCAATTTATGTGAACCTATTTTTTTTTTGGTCCGTTCCAAAAAGAATGAACCCTCTAAATTTAAAAACAGTTTAGTTTAAACTTACAATTCTATCCTTAATGAGAAGATTTTATAATCATACAAATACTCTGGCCCCCTTTTTGACTTGTTTAGGGCCACAAATTCCAAAAGTCTTAATTTTTTCTTAAACTTCGTGCCCAACGGATGGAGTAATAATTGACGATGAAAAAAAATTAATTAAAAAACAGAAAAGATAAAGTAAGGAACTCATAAAATATCACATCATATGCCAGCAGTGTAGTACTAGTATGAAAAATTTTATTTTGTGCACACAAAATAAAATCACTCTAATAGTATTAACTTTTAGGTTTTGTGGTCTGGTTAGGGAGAGAGAGAGAGAAAGAGAGAAAGAGACACCTTTTTGCTGAATCATTGGGATCCACTCAATTGAGAAAATCTCTGCTGAAACTCACAAGCTAGGCCTGCATTGTTCTCTGTAAGTCTTTTCTTTGTTATTTTTATGAAATAGATCTCTGTCGTTAGAGTATGCGGGGTTTTGAGATTTTTGTGTCTTGTGTGTGCGTGTGAATTAAGTGATGGGTGATTTGGCATTGTGGATTAAGTTGACAGTTTGTGAGAAAACTGATTCTTTAAATGTAAATTGTGGATTTTTGTTTGGTTTTCATTAGTTAGATCAGATGCACCTCAGTAAAATGGGGTAGCTTGGTAGATTTTTGTTTCATAATGTGTAAATTTGTCTCGCTGGTAGTAATTTAAGGTGAAAGGTGCTATGGAGCAAAGGTCAGTGGTTTCTGAAAAGTAAATAGATGGATAGATTAATGATTTTGTGCAAAGTTGGGGGTAAAAGTGCTTTCATGGAGTAAAGTTCAGACTTTTGTTGAAAAATATAAATCTTTGGATGTTTCTTTTACCTGATAAATTGAAGAAAAAAAATCCGCCTTTAACTTCTCAAAAGGGTAGCTCCTTGGGATAAGACAAATGCTAAACGATCATATGAGGCTTATCAGTTTTTTTTCTTAATTCTTGCGATAACATTTGACTTAATACATACGCAATGTTTGCTTGATCAAATAAAAGTGTCTCATAAAAAAGGAGATATGCACGCTTGCACAATTTGCCATAATGTCCCTTGAAGACAAATTGCAAATGGAATAGGTCAAGCTATTTTTTTTGTTTGAGTTAATAGTTCTCCTCCCAAACCCGTGAGCACCCTGAAATATGACATGAAATCTTGTTCGGGCTCAATCCTTTGAGTTACTTAATTAGTTTAACTTAAGTGCCCAAAGGAATAGAATGGTTCACTATCAACTATAAGTGCCAAGATGGACTGGAAGTAAAAAATGTAATACAGTACTGATAAGAAGGAAAAAAAGTCGTCAAGTAGCACCTTGCGGATGGCTATATGGTTTGTCTTCTACTTTCTTTATTGGAGCTGTTCTCATCTCAGCAGTTGCTCTTGAAATTTTCATGAAGAATGATATCCTTGCAACCTTCTGACTATTTTCTGTTTTCTTTGCTTTATCTATCAATTAGCTGCCGAGTCCCACAATGGTTGCACAGGGCTTCAATGTAGATTTAAATAAAGCACTTGTATTCCAGGTAATACTGTACACCTTTACATTTTTTCTTCTGCCCTATTGTATATGTTACTGTTATCATTTGGGAAGTTGATGTTTCTTTTGCTACATTTTCTTCAAACATTTTAAAAATATTTTTAATTGTAACAAATTGTAATTTATAGTACTCCCTTCACTCAAAGTTACATGACACTTCCATTTTGGGACCTTTCAAAATGTTTGATGCCGTGCAACTAATAGTATTATCCTATACATTTTTTTCTTGCAATTGTAAAGAATTTCAAACTCATTAAAGATTTAGCTCCGAAACTTTGATATGATGTTTTCTCTATGAACTCATTTGTCACTACTTTTCTATTTTCTTTCACTCTGATTGAAATAATACAATAGGTGTAATTCACATCCTAAACTCTGTGTTCAGTCAAGCAAGCACGTTCACTTAAAATGTGATGGAGGGAGTATTCTGTGTAGGTTCGAAATAATTTATAAAATTGAGGAAGCGATATCCAAATGTCTGCCAAAAGTAGAACATTTGATTCTCATACTTTAAACTTTGTTATTCTTTCGGATGGAGGATGTATCTGCTATTTTTATTCTTATTTTTGATAAACTATGTAAGTTCGTTGATGGCATCAAGAAGATGCAGTAGGTACAAAAGAGAATGTTAGCTCCATTACATAAGAGATTCCTATCGTAAGATCAGGGAGCTAACAAAATCCAAGGGATGTATCTTTTTTTTAAAGATCTGCACACATCTCTTTAAGGTTTATCTTACAGTTCCTGTCCCTTGATCCTCTTTGTTGCCAATCATATAAGGGTTTTCCTTTAAGTAATTAAGATTATTCCAGTATGAATTAGCAGAGATGCTTGCCTTATCAACCACAACAACAAACCCACTGCAATCCCACAAGTGGTGTTTGGGGAGGATAGTGTGTACGCAGACCTTTTGATAGACCCTCGGCTCAAGAAAAACATAATCATAGCAGTGTTGAAAAGAAATACGGTAGTGGAGAAGCCATGGAAAAGAAGCAGTAACAATACCAAGATAATAAGAAAACTACAGCAAAAAGAGATGACATGTAGTAATTGAAATCTAAGAATAAGAAAATACGAGAATAATACTAGTACTACAGGTAAAAGAAAGATGCTCCACTACCTACTAACCTATTATTCTAATTCTCGACGTCCACACCCTCCTATCAAGGGTCGATACGCTTGCCTTATCATTTTATTTTTTTCACTCTATGGCATTCTTAAGATCTGCATTTCCTTGTTCAGAAAAATAGAAGGAATGACAAAAAAGGCAGAAAGGAATAAAATGTGGTGATGTATTTCCTTCACAAGATCTTTCAGATGGGAAACTATTTATGGTTTTAATGTTGCAAGCTCCTCTTCGCCTTCTTCTTTTTGTTTTTGTTTAGTAGTTTTTGCGATGTCTTCTGTCATGTCTAACATGTTCCTTAGACCAAACCCCTCTATCTCCAGCTGAAATTAGTAGTAAATAAGCTGTCCTCAAAATACTTATTCCATTAATACTTTTTCTTATATGTGTTGACTTCTGAAATGTGCTCTCAGGTTGGCCACCTTGGAGAAGCTTACCAAGAGTGGATTCACCAGCCCATTGTCAGCAAGGAAGGTCCGCGATTTTTCGAAAGTGATTTTTGGGAGGTACTGTTACCGTTAGATTTCATTTTCTTCATTAGCTTGAGATTTCATTTGTCATACGGTTTATGTAAGACAAGTATGCTATAAAACTTGCTAGAATGCATCCCATACAAATTTTCCACGTCACGTGGGATAACTCATTTTTTACATCATCTCACTATATACAGAAGGTATTGATAACTTTTATTTGTGGAGCAGTTTCTGACTCGCACAGTTTGGTGGGCAATTCCAACCATATGGCTTCCAGTTGTATGCTATAGTATCTTCACGTCTATCCGTATGGGTCATACTGTCCCGGAGGTGGCATTGATGGTGGCTTTTGGCATTTTCATCTGGACACTGATGGAATACACTCTTCATCGTTTTCTTTTCCACATTAATACGACGAGCTATTGGTCAGTGCTCTCTCTGTTCTTTTTGCGTAACCTGAAATGGGAATGTATCATTTCTGCAGTTCTGCCTGAGGTTTCCCGCTGCTTTTGGTTCTTTATTCCTGTGTTCTTAAACCCGTGTGTTTTACAGGGGAAACACTGCTCATTATCTTCTTCATGGCTGTCATCATAAGCATCCCATGGATGGTCTACGGCTTGTTTTTCCACCTGCTGCAACGGCTGTTCTTTGCATACCTGTATGTTGGATTTCATATCATAGCCTCATTTTATATTTACTGCGAACCCTGTTTTTTCCCTTAAATATTTTCACACAAATGTAAAGATCCCAATTTCTAATGGTTGAAAGCGCCACTAGCGAAATGAAAAGATAATACTCCCTCCATTCCTTGATTGTTGCTTCATTCTGTTTTCAGAGGTCAAACTACGCCTTGGCAAAGGCATCTTAATCTGCCTTTAAAGTGAAAAAAGAAGGTCGAAGTAACTAGAATTTTAGAGCGTATACATCAATTATTACATGAATCTGCACGGAAAACCATTGGACAAAATCTAGTTTGATTTTGAAAAAACTTCAACAAGACCAAAGTGACTCGGAATATAATGCCAGCCTACTTCAACAGCTAGTCAAAGTTGGTAGTTATATATAAAATGTAGCAAGTTGAAAACTACTACGTTATTATTTGCTTCTTGTAAGTGATAATGATCACAAGTATACTAAATGCTTAATTGTGTTAATATGCTGAAGAGCTATGACTATCTACCTTTCCCACAGCTTGTGATACAGTGCTTTGTAATTGCAGTTCTGGAACTTGATCAAATTGCTGGCGACTCCCTCTACTGCTCCTGCTTTGTTTGGAGGCGGTCTATTGGGCTACGTTATGTATGATGTAACCCACTACTACTTACATCACGGACAACCGACAAATGAAGTGCCTAAAAGTCTTAAGGTAAGAGGATATGTTTGTGGATACCTCTCTACGACTTCCATGTGGCTGTTTGTTTATTTAGTTTTCCGAGATGTCTCCTTTTAGGTGTAAGACTTGTCAGTTTTGGGGAGTTGTTTTTACATCCCTGCTGGTTTTTAATCTATTTTATCCAACTACTAACCAGTGATTTTATGATAGCATAGCAAGTTATTTTATAATCATTTGTGGTACTTGAGAATTGAGACTGTTAATTTCAGGTTTTAGTATGTGGTCCAATCCCTTCTTTAGTACTCTAAGGAAGGGCTATGGCGTGGGTTTGGGTTTTTTTGGGGGGGTGGGGGTGGGGGGTTTGATTCTAAGCGAGAGTTTCATCTCAATTTGTGAATCTCGAAAAGGTGTTCTTAACCTGTTCAATGAACCTAACTGGTGATTTTTTTGCCCCTTTCACAGAAATATCACTTGAATCATCATTTTCGTATCCAGAACAAAGGTTTTGGCATTACCTCCTCTTTCTGGGACAAGGTATTTGGAACGCTACCACATTCAACATCAGCCAAGAACATATGATTCCTTTTGGGGAGGAGAATTACAGTACTAAGTGCTATCTATTAGAAGGGTTTAGAATTTTATTCTTTGAAATCTAGTTCCATTTTTTCATCTGCCATTATGTTCATGTCACACTTTAATCGGCAAATTTGCATCTCAGCCTTGTGACAACTTGTGTAAGGGTTACATAACCTTGCTGCAAAATATTGTGTTCATCAGTCCATCCAGGTTGTATTTATCTTCATCATTAGGCGGTATATTGACCAATTATTGTATCTTTTACAAGTTTGGCAATTGGAAAAATCTGGTTAATGCATAGCAATTTTTTTCCCGGTGAACTTACTTGACTGACCTGAGTTTCAATCTACAACATTGACTTATTTAGAAAGGTATCACTATTTTGTGTCAGCAGTTGCATCTAATGGCAATGAGCATAATCATGCAAGGATGAAACCTCCTATTGTATGGAAGAGGTGTCTATGCAGCTATCCATTGTGAATTAAGTGAAGGAGATGTAGTCATTCATTAGTCAACCTGCATAAGCAAATATCCCTCTAATTCTTCGCAATATTTTTGGTACTATATTTTGGAAGATACTATGCATGGCGAGTTTCTGGAATTAGCAGAAATGGAAGTAGTTTGACTATTGAATGCAGGTTTGAGAACCATATTAGTCATGGTACATAACATGACCAAATTATAGTGAAAATTGCACAATTCATTTTCCCCTTGTTGATTACTGCCATATGCAGTAGTGTACGCGGTGAAGAACAGCAACTACAGCAGCTCTTTTGATTCCCAACATTTTTCACATGAAACATCTGCATTTAGAGCCCCACTCTCTGTAAGAGTGCCTTTTTTTTTTTAACTCTTTTGAATACTGAGTGGAGTATCTTTTTTTCCTTTTTAATAGTATTAAGCTTGTGTATCATGAGACCTAATATTGATTTTCACCTAGCCACCTGTCTCCTCTCCCCAATCACAATCTTGCAATTGCCACATGAGAAAAGAACACAAATAAACAAAGACTATGAAAGCCAAAATTATTGTGTCTAGACATAAAGTTGTAGGTACTTTGAAAAGAAAAAGAGTAAAGGCAAGGCACTATAATAGGACCTTTGTCCCCCTTTAATAATGAGCAAGTGTTTCTACTTTCTCCTTCACGACACCTTCCTCCACTAAACTAAAACTTAAGCATAAGGTTTTGAAACTCATTTCTTTTGATTTATTTAAATCATCCTCTCCTTCTCTGCTACTTCCCAAACTCTATTCTTTATTTTCAAATAAATACCCGTGAACAGACATAAGTTCTCTCCAGCTATATTATTGTCCAAGATCATGACATGTCCCAACAGTCCAAAACTATAAAGTCTCTACCTTTGTAATGTTCTTGCATCTTGTCTCAACTTTTTATTAGATCTTTTGCTTTGGATTTCTCCTTCCTCAGTTACTGAAATTTTAGAAAACAAAATTCTTTTTTGTTGAATTGGAGTTTGCAAGCATGTCTTTTCCATGGAAGAAGGTGAAGAAGACAAGTGTATGTGAATTGGTGAAGGACCATATTCGTTTTCACAGGAATGGTGGATCTCCTCTTATAGTAGAGACTGGTTTCCCTACTTCCCTTATAGATCTCTTTGTCAAGAATCGCCAAAGGTTCATTAAACCTTCCAAGAAAAAGGTGGCTAAGTCCACTTTGAGCTCTCCTTCTTATCTGAATTTGCATTTGCCTTTTCCTATGTCTCCACCTTCACCAGCCACTTACACAATTAATAAGGGGTCTCAGTTAAAGGGTTGCCAGGAAAAAGGTGAAAGATTTGATGTTGATACAAATCAGGTGTTAATAGCACTTGTGAAGATTTTTCTTGTAGTAGTTTTAGTTTTAGGAGCAAAGAACTTTGTTATGGGGATAACCATGTCAGCTTGTTTGTTTCTTTTCTTGGAATATTCGGGGGAATATTTGTATAAATGGCTCATGCCTTGTGTAGGAGCTCAAAGGAGGATTCTTTTGACAGTACAGTGGGTTTGGAGATTTATTGGAGGCAAAATGATTGAGTTAGAAGAAGAAGAAGAACAAGATGATTGTGTTTTTGAGGCGCAATTACAGCAGAAAGAGTTAGCAAATCTTCATTGCTCTTATATGGCTAATCAATGTGTTAAGGAGAAAACTTATGAGTCAAGTAGGGATAGAAAATTAGATGAAGGAATGGACTCAGAGGGAAAAGAAGAGGAATTGAGGACTGAATTGTTGGAATTCAAGAAAAAGAAATCTCATAAATCCAATATGAAATCCAAGATGAAGAAATTTCTTTCAAAGAAGTTTAGAAAGAAAATAAGTTCAATGATTGTCAAGTGAAAGTAAACAAGTTTTGCTCAAAAAATCTAACTAGAATACTTCAACTTATTCCAAGAAAGCTGTGAATTGCAGATATGTAGATAGTAGAATAGTTTTTGCTTCTTATGAAGTGCTGATTAAGCCTTGGTAGAATGCTCAACATTTGGTTAACCACTTAACTTACAGATTTTGTATTAGGAGTATATTTTTTAAATCTCTAATACATACAAGATTAACTTTGTTATACAGATAACAGATCTTACTGAATCAAATAATGCCTTGCCTTGCCAAATAATTTATCCTATTTCTTTTTGAAACCTTGGAGTTAATGATAATTTATCGAACCTTTTGTATATTTACAAATGTATAGGGACAAATGGCAGTGAATGGCACACAATGCAATTGTTATTTTAGGTTAAAAGTATTTCCCCTGGCAAGATAACTCTTCAGCTTGTGAGCATCTTCTCATAATAAAATGTAAGTATTAGAAAAAGAGACCAAAAAAAATGTCTTTAATCATGTGTAAAGTTTAAACCTTAGAACCCACTTTTATATATATATATATATATATATATATATATATATATATATATATATATATTTAGAATGTCTATCGAAACTTGTAGNGTATATATATATTTAGAATGATCATGGCTACTTCACCTATTACTTTAGGTATTTTAGAAAAGGGAAAAAGGCTCAAAACTGCCCTCGTGGTCTTCGAAATGGCTTATCTGTACCCTTCGTTTGAAAATGAGGTCACGTGTAACCTTGCCGTTAAACAAGTGGTCCACTAATACCCTCCTCGACTGACGGCTTCGTTTTGGGCCCTTTTTTTTCCTCGAAAAATTCACATCACGACACGTGTCCTCCAAAATCACCCTCAATTTTTTTTACATGCCCTCTCACTTATTTTACCCACCTGTCCCACCCGCTTTACCCCATCCGCATCAGACCCCCAACAATACTTCACCACAAAAATTACCATTCATTAGTAATACGTAGATGATGATTGCGTTGTTAAAATTTATTACCATGTCTAAATTCATTATTAATCGAAGAATTTAGAAAGTAAAAAAGTAATATGTAGTACAAAATTTAACCCAATAAAAAATATATCTGATCGACATGTAAATGGTGATTGTGTTGTTCTCAATCTTACGTTCTTCGAGATGGCGAGAAATGGTGTGATAGTACGCTTTGATTATAAAAGCTAATTGAGGGTGATAGTACGCTTTGATTATAAAAGCTAATTGCTGTGAAGTATTGTTAGGGATCTGATGCGGATGGGTTAAAGGGGTGCGAAATGTGGGTAAAATAAGTGAGGGGCATGAAAGAAAAAAATGAGAGAGGTTTTGGAGGACACATGTCGTGATGTGAATTTTTCGAGGAAAAACAAAGGGCCCAAAATGGAGCCGTTAGTCAAGAAGGGTATCGGTGGACCACTTGTTTAACGATAAGGTTACATGTGACCTTATTTTCAAACGGAGGGTACAGATAAGCCATTTCGAAGACCACGAGGGCAATTTTGAGGGTTTTCCCTTTAGAAAAAGAAACATTAGTTTTCATCCAGAAGGAGGTGAAAGTGGGTACTAATAGTCTATTTGCAAGCTTCTAATATTAGCTTATTTTTTTCTTAAAAGTGCTTTTTTCAAAAGTGCTTTTGGTGAGAAACAGTTTGTGTTTGGCTAATTAATTTGAAAATCATTTCTGAGCAGCAATTAATATTTGAACAAACTTTTAAAAAGTGTTTTTAAGTGTATTTTTCTCAAAAGTGCTTATAGGGAGAAATTACTTTTTTCTGCTTCTCCAAAATCGATTCTGCTTCTATTCAAAAGCACCTTTTTTTCTTCTAAAAGTTTGGCCAAACACTTTAACTTTAAAATTTTGGTCCTGGAAAAGCTTGACCAAACATGCTATATCAATTTTTTTTAAAAGAGCTTTTCTCAAAAGTGTTTTTAAGAAAAAAAAAATACTTTTGGTGAGAAGCAATTTGTTTGTGTTTTGCTAATTTATTTGAAAAATACTTTTGAACAGTAATTAGTATTTGACCAAACTTTTGAAATATGCTTTTAAATATATTTTTTTTCCTCAAAAGTGCTTTTTGAAAAAGTGTTCTCGGGGAGAAACTATTTTTTCTGCTTCTACTTAAACACCTTTTTACTTCTAAAAATTTGGCCAAATACCTTAAATTTAAAAAAAAAAAAAATTTAGACAAAAAAATACTTTTAGTAACAAAAAAAAAAAAACTTGACCAAACGGGTCATAAGACTGCACAAATGACAAAACCACGTTTAAAGCCTTAAAATGTGTTTACAAATTGATCTTTACTAGCTTTTGCAGTTTCAACTAGTAGTAAATTGAATTGCTTCTAAAAGTTGGTACGCCCTATTTGATAAAGGAGTTCTACAATTATTATTCTTATGCGTGCAAAATTACTTTTGCCTAAAGCGGCAAAGCCCCACATTTCCCCTCCAAGTATTTGTTCGGGGAATAAATAAAAGTCCAAAAAATAGTGTGTTAAATTTCTTAGATCTTTTAAACTATTAATATTTCTTTCCAATACTTTATTACAAAACAGGGGATTGCAATTTAGATCTACTTATTCTATTTTCTTTTGAATATGATTGCTTGTGCTTAAGCTTTTTTTTAATATTTAGGAGTTTAAATCAACTGAATTTTGTGCATTAAGTTCTTCATTATCTGAATATATAAAAGACTCTCATATTAAATACCTTGTATAAAACTTTTTCTTACTTGAATTATGTAATTTACTTTTTTTTTTTGCAAAATATAAAATAATCTAAAATTAAACGGCAAAGTTCACAAAGAATAAATGAGAACTAACTGTTATTAAAGTCAGTAATAGTAGGCTACACCCCTTCAATATTTAAGGATATTTAGGTTCTCAAACTCTGAGTCTTTTGCTTTGTAAATATATAAGAAATTTGAATTCCTTTTTTGCAAGGTGTTCTAACTCTTATCAATTAAGGATCTTATTAGTTCATATTTTTTTACCTATGTTTTATACCTATAATTACTAATAGTTATACCAGCTCAAATGGCTAGACACCTAAAAAGAATTGATATATATCATTTTCAGAGAATGTTTACTATATTTAGTTTATATTTAATAACTCAAACACATTGATTAATAATATTTGTATAATTTTAAAAGTTATACTCATTGATATAGGGTACACGCGCAACACACGTAACCTGAGACTAGCTAGTAGAAATAGAAGAAGTACGCTGACTATATAGCATTATTTTTGTTGTCGTTTGAGCTAGTTGAGTGGAGGTAGAGATGGCAATGGGGCGGTGCAAGACGTGTTTAGACATATGTGGGGCGGTGCGGGTTTGTACATATGCGGGTGTGGGATGGGTTAAAATAATTTTTTTTTGGCATGTGCGGGTGTGGGTTTAAAGTTTTTTACGAAATTACAGTTTCAAGTTCTTGTGGTTGTTATGGAATTTATTTTCACTTTTCCTTCATCTGTGATGGATGAATTAATAGGATCTTTACTAATATGAATAAAATACTTTAATTTTTTTGACAAGTTGACCTTTTAGTAAATAGCATTTGTAAATTGTTGTTAGTATCTCCATTTTGTACAGGTTTTGGAAGTAATAGAATTGATATATCGGGTGTTAGTTTTTGAATTGAAGATTGGGATGTGTATCGCATCCCAGTGGGAAACTTTTAGCTTAAATTTTTGATTGTACTCAATGATATGGAAAGATTGCCTTTTTTTCCTTGCTACTTGCTTCATCTTGTTACTATTGTATATTCCTTTTCTTTATAAAATTATACCTTTTTAAATATAACCGGTGAAAAGACTAGGTATTTGCTATTTGGCATTCGAGGATAGAAAATCTAAAATCTAACCGAGGAATTTCTCATGTTAGCCCTCATTTTCTCACCTGAAATAAAATGAGATTGACAACGTCGTAGTTAAATTATGGTGCTCAGTACTCACTTTGAATGCTTGATTTTAAATTTAAATGGTTATTGTTTAGCTTATGTATGCTTATAATTAATAAGAAAAAAATAAAAATAAGACAAACTGAAAAGAAACAAAAAATGCATGGCGGGGATGGGGGGTGGATGTGGGCTGGGTGGATGCGGGTTAAAAGAGCTATACGGGGCGGATCAAAATTTTGCGGGTTAAGATAGAACCCTCCCCGCACCCGCACCACTTTGCGTCCCTACGTGGAGGTTTGAGAACCATATTATTCATGGTACATAACATGATCAAATTATAGTAAAAATTGCACTATTCATTTCCCCCTTGTTGATTACAGCCATATGCAGTAGTTGTTAGGGATATAGTGGATATGCCCTAGATCCAATCTTATATGTGATGATTTGAACAATTTTTTGTGAACGTTATTTGATATAAAAATATATGGCATTTTGATATTCTTTTATCATAGTTATTATCAATTGCTTGATTGATTTGATAAGGTCCTTGATTAAATTTTGAGACTTGTCATCGTGATGGAGATCATGATAATGAGAGTGAAGTCTCTTACAATTTAATCTAAACTTGTTCTTGATCGTAGGATTATTCATTTGGTCATTAGTAATACAGTTAGATCAATATTTATGCGATCGTCTTTATGAGATAAAGATTAGTTGATCTCATTAACTAAATCATATAAATAGATGATGCATATAGAGATATGATCATTGAACCGACTCATTGGATAATTCCTAATGGTTAGAATTACCATAAACTGTCAATAGGATATTCTCTTGAAGAATGTGATGTAACAGTTTCCTTTGACCTGAGATCATTATAGTAATTGACGAGTTATTTATTGTGCTTTGATACCGGACATCTACTGCCCTAGGGCGATAGTTGAAAGGATATTGGGTATGGTTAAATGCTTGTAGATAGTGATTGATCAAGATGGAATCTGTCAACTCTTGGTAATGAGTTTAAGCTCCATGTTGTCATGAATTATAAACGACCAAATTAAGACCTTGGCCAGGGCAATTGAATGAAAGAAGAAAAGAGTTTCTTAGGTCATTCAATGGTCGATTATATTTGACATGAGCACATAGTTGGTCGCCTATTAGGATTTGACAGTTGAACCATATCCTAGGGTGACTCAGAGCTATAAGGACATAAGAAAATATTACTTTATTCTTCTACGGGTTCTTGAGAGTAAATTGTATACTTCATGATATCTGGCAGTTAAGGAGTGTTGCTAGACTCCACCCTTGATTAGTATATTGACGTGATCAATTTACTACCGGCTCAGTATTGAACCTATAGGGTCGCACACTAACGAGTGGTCTGATCTTTGCTAAAGGATTAATTATTTTATTATTTGATAATTAAATTAAAGAATTTAATTAGTCTAATAAATTTAATTATTAATTCAAATAAAATATTATTATATTCTTTGCTAGCATAGAGGATATATTTAATATTGTGAACAAATTAAAGTTTTCTAAATGGGATAGAAAATTAAATTATATTTCTTGGTTAAAATATATGTATGTGATAAATGATTGATACTTATTTTATATAAAATAACAAAAGACTTATTAGTTAATCTAATTTTGAATTGGATTAGTTACTGAACGTCCATAAAGGTGAAATCCAATTGGAGTTGGATTCCACAAAGGACGTACGTGTCGACTATCAATTCCCATAAGGCATGGATTTGTATTTCCGAGGAAATTATGAATATACATATAAGTCTTAATTTAGAATTGCTCTTATATATAGAAAAGTCCGGTAAAAATTAGAGGGCTCGATTTTATGATCACTAAGGCGCCTAAAAAAAGACCACTCCCGGGAGGCTTGAAGTCTAGCTCAGAGTTCACCCCTGAGGATTCGTAATGATCAACCTCGAGACAGTGCAAACCAACGGCTACGACGCACTAGCGGGAAGTTCCCAAGGCATGTGTTTAAAGCTGATAAAACCTGCAAAGGAAACCCTAGTTTGTACCAGACTAGTGAGTAGCTGTGCCAGCTACTTTTCTTTGTAATAATTACTCATGTACTATGTTGGAATTTCTCTCAATATATAAAGGGGATCCTTGTCATTTTGTAAAAGGCATCTGATACACGAAATACAACAGATTACATTCAATACAAGAACATTCTCTGCTTTCTAGCTTGAACACATTCTCTTGGTTTCATTATTTACATTTATTGCTTATATTCATTGTGTTCTATTAATTGTTCATCATTTATTGCTCATTATTGATCATAGAGAGCCTCCACCACAGGTCTCATAACTTTTAATCCTTCATCGACTGCTCTTAACCGGGCATCCGACTCGACCTCGAGGCCCCGCACACGCAAGCTCGAGGCCTCGATTCCCATTCATTTCGGTTCGATTATTAAGCCAACTACAAGCTATCATCTTAATTTCTAATCCTTCACTTAGCATCTATTCCCTAACAACTAGCATAAAAACAGATCACATATTTTAAGAACCACAAAATCAAATCTAATTGTTATTACCATTTCAAGGTAAACACACGCCAAAGTTATTACCTTAGTCAAATGGGAAAAAGGTTGTGATTAATGATATATATATATATATATATATATACACGGCTATCAACCAAAATAGGGTAACGAATACAGTTCCTTGGAGGAGCCGCAAAGACCAATATTAAGTCTTGAGAAGAAAATTCACTTTGTGAAAGTGAGAATACAATACAAAGCCAAGAGAGAAAATATAATTACAAGAAAAGTGTTTCTTGTTTTTTTACCTTTGAGTTGAGATTTTTTTTGAGAAAAATTTCAGCACAAATTTTTATTTAATTTGGTCGCCGGTTTCATTGATCAAAGAGTTGATAGCAAGGGTCGGCCTCGGTGTGGATATGCATAGAGTCTTCGCACTATCGAAGAATTTTAAAACGAGACTCTCTTCACCAGGTACGTCTTAGATCCGATCTTTGACATGTAAATAAATTTTAAACACAAAAGATCTGCCTAGGATTGTTCTTGTCTTCCGATGCGTTTTACGAACTTCTATATGCAATCCTTCAGTGGTATCAGAGCCATGGTTTCTCGTGTCTAAAATTTATTTACGAAATATTTTAAGATTATATATGAAAAGTTCAAACCATAATACATGTGTCTTGTGCAATAATCAAATTGTTTGATAACATATGGATTGTTATTATTTTATTGTGAATAAAATATGTGTACATATAAGTTAATGTCACGACCCAAAAATACCATCGAAGGGCTCGTGATGGCACCTAGTCTCTAAACTAGGTAAGCCTAACATTAACTGAAATTACATTGATATTTGCTAACTTTATATTAAATTACTCTGAACAAATTACAATTCCCAAAACTGGTGGTACAAGTCATAAGCTTTTCTAAGAGTAATTATACAAAATAAATACGTCACTGTTCCGAAATAAAAGGAACCAATGAAAATAAATACAACTAAAGGTGACTCCGAGGCCTGCGAACGCGGTAGCAGGTTTACCTTGAGTCTCCGCCACCATGATCCGTACAGCTACTATCGACCAAATACCTGGATCTGTACACAAAAATGTACAGAAGTGTAGTATGAGCACACCACAGCGGTGTCCAGTAAGTATCAAGACTAACCTCGGTGGAGTAGTGACGAGGAATAATCAAGGTACCTACTGGTCAAATAAACTGAACAGGATATAATGATAAACTATCGAGATACGATAACAAGGTAATATCAGCAGCATGGAGAAACTCAAACTACAAACAGTAGAAACAGTAAAGGGAAACACGGATGAAAACGAAGGTAACCAAGTAAATTAACACCAACATAGCTGGGACACAGACAAGTAAAATGTACTCAAATAAGAAGGCGATATCAACTCAATAAATTATATCATTTCTGATGCACAATTCCAGCCATCTCAAACTCGATGTCTCATATCATAACCTCAAATTACCAAACCTTTAGCACACCCGGCACCTCGTGCTCACATATTTCTATCTCACTTTGCGAAACGACGTTCTCATGTTACTCAGTACATAGGTTCCATAACCAATGAAATTAAGATGTTCAAGGAGTCTCATTTACATAGCATAAAATAGAGTACAGTTTCTAAACCAACTAGGAACTCAACAAGAAAAGATGAAGTTATTATTAAAAATCATTTGAATAAGGTACCATTTTCAATTAAAATACAACATCAAATAATTTATTACCTTTAACATGGGATTTAATAAATTAACTTAGTAGAAATTTCTTTTTAAGTAAAATACAACCTCAAACGGTTTAAGGAAATTTAATCGAGAAACTAATTGAGTTAAAAATGTAACAATTATTGAAATTTGAAGTATTGAAATATATATATAATACGGCGAGGTATTGTAAACATTATGGATTCCAACACAAAGGATCACAGCAGTAAAGGAATCTAAACAGTTAAAAGACTTGATTTGATAACAACAATTACAACAAAGACAAAATAATCACAGAAGGAGTACAACTCAACGCAGAGATAACAACCGGGGATCTCCCAGGTGATTCTTTTTTCAGATAATAATCACCAAAGTATATTCAGATGATTTTTCGTGTCCCTACAATTGTTCAGTCTTCTCCTTTTATTGCTATCTTAGATGTAAGTGCCTTACTTTGGTCATAATAAGGTTATTATGGGCAATAAATGACATTGAATGCTACGTTGCATATTCTCTAACGTTTTCAGCATTTAATACTTATCAAATATTGTATTTGGACCCTCGTATGCTGTCAGATTCATTCCTTCTGATTCTCGGATATAAATGACTTAAACAGGTACGGGCGCCGTGTTACTTGTCTGATGTCCCGTGCCTCTTCCTCTTTCCTTGCTCGTATCTGTTGTAACTCCTGACTCGTGGTTAATTGCGATTCTTTGACCATTTGACTAATCCACGTGTCTTGACACGTCACCTTTATATATAAATATAATTTTCCCCAATACAATATATATATATATATATCAACCAAAATAGGGTGACGAACACAGTTCCTTGGAGGAGCCGCCGTTAGAATACAATACAAAGCCAAGAGAGAAAATATAATTACAAGAAAAATATTTCTTGTTCTTCGATCTTTGAGTTGAGATTTTTGAGGAAAATTTCAGCACAAATTTTTATTCAATTTGTTCGCCGGTTTTATTGATCAAAGAGTTGATAGCAAGGGTCGGTCTCGGTGTGGATACGCATATAGTCTTCGCACTATCGAAGAATTTTGAAACGAGACTCTCTTCACCTGGTACGTCTTAGATCCGACCTTTGAGATATAAATAAATTTTAAACACAAAAGATCTGTCTAGGATTGTTCTTATATTCCGCTGCGTGTTACGAACATCTATATGCAATCCTTCAGTAGTATACGTGGTATATGCAATCCTTCAGTAGTGTACGCGGTGAAGAACAACAAGTACAACAGCGTCCTTGACTCCCAACATTCTTACATGAAACATGTGCATTTAGAGCCCCACTCTCTATAAGGGTGCCTTTTTCACTCTTTTGCATTACACTGGGGAATCTTGAGTGCAGTATCTTTTTTCTTTGTAATAGTATTAAGCTTGTGTATCATGAGACCTAATATTGATTTTCACCTAACCACGTGTCTCCTCTCCCCAATCACAATCTTGCAATTGCCACATGAGAAAAGAACACAAATAAACAAAGACTATGAAAGCCAAAATTATTGTGGCTACATAAAGTGTTAGGTACTTTGAAGTGAAAAAGAGTAAAGGAAAGGCACTATAATAGAACCTTGTCCCCCTTAAATAATGAGTAAGTGTTTCTACTTTCTCCTTCACGACACCTTCCTCCACTAATCTAAAACTTAAGCATACGGTTTTGTACATTTCTTTGGATTTCTTTAAATACTCCTCCCTCCTTCTCTGCTACTTCCCAAGCTCTATTCTTTATTTGCTCTGGATTTCCCCCATATAAATTCCTCAGCTACTGAAATTTTAGAAAACAAAATTCTTTTTTGTTGAATTGGAGTTTGCAAGCATGTCTTTTCCATGGAAGAAGGTGAAGAAGACAAGTGTATGTGAATTGGTGAAGGACCATATTCGTTCTCACAGGAATGGTGGATCTCCTCTTATAGTAGAGACTGGTTTCCCTACTTCCCTTATAGATCTCTTTGTCAAGAATCGCCAAAGGTTCATTAAACCTTCCAAGAAAAAGGTGGCTAAGTCCACTTTGAGCTCTCCTTCTTATCTGAATTTGCATTTGCCTTTTCCTATGTCTCCACCTTCACCAGCCACTTACACAATTAATAAGGGGTCTCAGTTAAAGGGTTGCCAGGAAAAAGGTGAAAGATTTGATGTTGATACAAATCAGGTGTTAATAGCACTTGTGAAGATTTTTCTTGTAGTAGTTTTAGTTTTAGGAGCAAAGAACTTTGTTATGGGGATAACCATGTCAGCTTGTTTGTTTCTCTTCTTGGAATATTTGTGTAGATGGCTCATGCCTTGTGTAGGAGCTCAAAGGAGGATTCTTTTGACAGTACAGTGGGTTTGGAGTTTTGTTGGAGGCAAAATGGTAGAGTTAAAAAAAGATGACTTTGTTTATAAAGCACCATCACTGCAAGAAGAGTTGGCTAATCAATGTGTTAAGGAGAAAACTGATGAGTCTAATTGGGATAGCAAATTGAAATGTGAAGGAATGGACTCAATGGGGAAAGAAGAGAAATTGAGGAGTGAATTGTTGGAATCCAAGAAAAATAAGTCTCATAAATCAAATATGAAATCCAAGATGAAGAAATTTCTTCCAAAGAAGTTCAGAAAGAAAATAAGTTCAATGATTGTCAAGTGAAAGTAAACAAGTTTTGCTCAAAAAATCTAACTAGATATTTAGATAGTAGAATAGTTTTTGCTTCTTATGAAGTGCTGATTAAGCCTCGTTGGAATGCACAAGCTCAACATTTGATTAACCACTTAGCTTAGGGGTTTTGTATTATATCTTGTAAATCTCTGATATGTACAAGAGTATAACTTAACAGATCTTACTGAATCATATATTACATTGCCTTGCCAAATAATTTCCCCTGTTTCTTTTTGAAAACCTTGGACTTACTGATAATTTATCAAACCTTTTGTATTATTACAAATGTATAGAGAAAAATCGCAGTGAATGGCACACAATGTAATTGTTGGTTTAGGTTAATAGTATTTTCCCTTGCAAGATAACTCTTTAGTCATTATTGAAAGAAAAAAATCTTCACCTATTACTTTAGGTATTTTAGAAAAGAAACATTAGTTTTCATCCCCAAGTAGGTGAAAATGAGTACTAAGGATTTTGGCTAAGCTTCTAAAATCAGTTTTTTTTAAAGTGCAGTTTGTTTGTGTTTGAATAATTTATTAAAAAAATATTTTTGAACAATAATTAGTATTTGACCAGTGTTTTGAAATGCACTTTTAGTATATATTTTTTTTCCCAAAAGTGCTTTTCGAAAAACTGCTTACGGGGAGAAACTGCTTTTCTTGCTTCTATTTAAACACTTTTTTATTAGTTCTAAAAGCTTGGCCAAACACCTTTTTAGAAAAAAAAATATTTTTTTGACAAAAAAAAAAGTACTTTTAGCCGTAAACAAAAAAGGAATCCTGGCCAAACTAGTTATAAGACTGCACAAATGACAAAACCACGTTTAAAGCCTTGAAATGTGTTTATAAATTGGTCTTTTCTTGCGCTTTTAGCCCGCGCAGAAATTAATTATATTTGGTAGCCGAAAAAGTATATAACTTTTTATATAACATAGAGAATGTATGTATGTGTATATATATATATATATATATATATATATATATATATATATTTCCGATTATCTATATCTATACCATATTAAAAGCACGAAGGCCCTTAGCGAAATGTCGTTCGCATTTTTTACCCCTTTTAAATAGAGTTTACATTAGACAAAATAGTCATTGTATTATTTCCCTAATATTTAGCACTTTGAAATCCATTAAAATTTTGCTTATTAAAGTTTTCCTTATTTAAATTACTACATAGGAAATTCTAATATTTAGGATATCAAAATCAATTAAAATTTACCTTGTGCAATCAAACAATTTATTTACTAGACTATTTGACTAGCACACGGTACCCATCCTCCGAAAATTACCTAGCTTTTTCCTTTTTTTTTCTGCGATTGAAAGTCAGGTGTTCAATTAATTCCATCAATCCAATGTAATGAAGTTACATTCTAGCCTTCTGATTTTTGCCGTCTACTTTAAAGGTTATTAAGTGCTTTGAGTAGTAAATATTTTTTCTATTTCAATTTATATGCACTTCAAAAGAATGAAAGTGAAAGTGACTCACAACTGAACTATGCAAGAGTATTGGGAAGTTTGATGTATATCATGAATTGTACGCGACCAGATATAGCATGTGCTATTAGCAAACTGAGTCGGTTTATAAGTAATCCCAATCAAATACATTGGATGGCAATGAAACGAGTTTTGGGGTACCTTCCGTGATTGAGGGATATAGTGATGCAAATTGGATCACCGGATCATCTGAAGTTAAATCCACGAGTGGATATGTTTTCACAATTGGGGGTGGAGCAGTGTCTTGGAAATCATCCAAACAAACGTGCATCACCCGTTCTACAATGGAATCTGAATTCATAGCTTTAGATAAGGCCGGTGAAGAAGCTAAATGGCTCCGAAATTTCTTGGAAGATATTCCATTTTGGCCCAAACCTTTGGCACCTATATGTATACATTGTGATAGTCAAGCGGCAATAGGTAGGGCAGGGAGCGTTATGTATAACGGGAAATCTCGTCATATTCGACGGAGACACAATACTGTTAGACAACTACTCTCTAGTGGTGTTATCACAATTGACTACGTAAAGTCAAGAGATAACGTGTCGGATCCACTTACAAAAGGCCTATCTAGAGAGGCGGTTGAAAGATCATCAAAGGGAATGGGGTTAAAGGCCTAGGGCAAGTCATCATGGCGGTAACTCTACCTAGCAGACTGGAGATCCCAAGAGCTAGGTTCAAAGAGATCAAACAAAGTTATGAATGACGGTTCAACATTGTCAACTAACTCAACCCATTCTCGTGATGAAGACAATGTTCAAAAACGAGGTAAAGCATTAAGGCTTTTTGATGAGTCAATAAAGCTTAAAGCTTTTTAATGATTTGCTAAGTCTGGCAGGATATGACCAGATAGTGTGTCTTTAGGATTACACGTTTAGGAATCACCTATGTGAGTGTGAAGTGTAAGCCGCTTCAAGGACAATGAAAGTAAAGGCCCATTTCTCTAAGCACTCATGAAACCAGGCGGTGTTCATGGCTGAAACGAACATAACCGTGAGAACCATAGATGGTTAAGGATTGATTGTGTGACTTATGTTGTCTAGGTATACAACAAAGCTCGACGGTTCAAAGATATCAAATCTACCGATTGACCGAGTATATCCGATAATTTCACTACGGAAAGTTCAAAGGGAAACCTACTTATCCAGATGCAATCAATTCTTGCTTGTAAAACACACACACGTCCGTGCATTCCTTTGAGTTTATAGCTATTCCCCATTCATGTGGGGGATTGTTGGGTTTGTTATTAATAAATAATAACAAAAGAGGTGTGAATGGAAAATGGTGGGAAAAGAAATGGAGGGAAGTGAAATTTTGAATGAGTTCATTTCACTTATGCACTTTGTCCCTCATTGGTAGAAGGAAAGAAAATCTTTGTGTATATAAAGAGAAGCTCATCTTTTAGCTCTTAAAGAGCTAAGAAGAAGGCAAGCCTCGCGCCGTCGCCGTCGTCGCTCGCTCGGCTTCGGCTTCGGCTTCGGTTTCGGATTTGGGTTTGGATCTGTCAAAGATTGATTGATTAATCTTTTTGGACAAAATTCTTTTCAAATATTTAATTAATTAATTAAATTAATTAAAGAAAATTTAATCCGAAATAACCCATGACCCGCGACCCGGTCCGGTCCGGCCCGTTTTCTTTCCCGGATTATTTTAAATCCGTTTATATTTCCTGTAATATTTTGAACAGCCATGGCTGTTCTGAAACAGTGTCACACCTGTTCCAACAGCTATGGGTGTTCTGAAAGGTTGCAAACCTCTTCAGAAACAGCACCAAGTTGGCTATAAATATACCTTCAAATCCCAGAATATTTACTTACTAAATTTTCTGAATCTTCTTCTTCTTCTTCTGCACAAAATATTCCAGTGTGTTTTACGACCATCGAGTGGTTCGCCGATCACCAGAGTTTTAGGTACCGATACACTGGTGAGTTAAATCGTTCATCCTGGGAGGATATATTCCAAAACCTCGGGTACTCGAGGGGAATAATTTCCTTAAGGACACACTGTGTATTCAGTGGGCTCGATTTGTTCCTACAACGTTTTCAGAATTTATTTTGAAGAAGTTTACTGTTTTTCGGAATTTAATTTTTGTTAACTTTCTGTTTTTGTTTTCAGAAAGATTATTATGTAATCTATTTTCAGCAATACAGATATATAACAGGTGTCAAATTACTTCATCATCTTTTCATTTTCGCTTCTTTGTGAGAAATTTCTCCTAGAAGAACAGGCTCTTTTTTGTTTCTTTTGCTCAACTCCAGTTACAACGCCCGGGTAAAGAAATCTTCGTGAACTTAGTTTATACTGGACTTAGTTTATGGTGAGCTGCATTATTACTTTCCAATTAGTTTTTTCCCCTTATTAACCAGTTATTACTGTTATCTTCAACACATATGTGATCAAAGAAAGTCTCATTGTGCCGCACTCTTTAGAGGAAACTCAGCACATATATTTATAGACTATAATTTATACGCCTGCAATATTAAATCTGATGCACTTATTCTTGATTATCATATTTTATTTTGATTGTTTTGTTTATTGTTTTCTTTTCTCCTTTGGATATAAATTTACGCTTTGCTTTCCGGACTATTTATGAAAATGACTGGTTCCATTACTAGAGCTATAGTTTTTTCCTTTTCTCCACGATAAACATTCAAAGACTGTGGGTTACTTTTGTCTAACACGGTTCCTTCTGATAATTGATATAGCTTAGGGTTTATCTTTGTTTAGAGAGTTAAATTATTAGTATTTTCGTAATTCAATGAGATGAAACCTGAAGAATATCTTTAGACAGAAAGAAAGAAAATTTGAAAAAAAGAAATTCTAGCAATCAATTGCATATATTAATATTTAGAGCATTTAGATAGTGAAAATAATCGCTGAATAAAAAAACAACGAAGAAAAGTCATTTTCCAATATATCTATAAGGTCTAGAATCAACAGCAAAATTAGAAGCTTCACGTCACGTCACATCACGTGCTTCACCAAAAAAATAATTAAAATTGAACACAAAAAATTAATACACGATGACTAGGTAGAGATGAAAAGACTAGCCAATAGTTTGAAGTCAAGCTAAAATGTGAGAAATCTTTTTAAAAGATTTATAATTGATATTTCACGTGTGATCTGATTTTAATAATAGTTTCACATTTTAATATGTGATAAAATTAATATTTTATTCTAAAGTAGAGAATTGCCTTTACTAGGCATGTCATACCTCCATTACTCTTTTTAAGTTTGAGCTTGTAATTTTTTTCCTTGAAATTTGGTGTTACACATCACATACCTATAAGTATTTAATTTATTCTCATATTTTTTTTGTTTGTCAATTTCTTTTGTAGTCATTAAATATTAAACCTGAAAATTAAAAATTTCATGAAGTACTAAAATATCAAACTACTGATATCTGGCATGCATTATCTTATTGTGTTTTATAATGCGATTACATTTATACTATTCAATTGTATTATTATGTTAAATTATCTGAAAGGACTTATAATCAGACAACGCATTCCTCTATGTGCAATTATGCCACATATATATTATTACTAGGTATCCTACAAAATACCACTCTATGT